CAGAAGGAGAACATGAGTGAAAACAAGTCGGGGAAGAGTCTAGCGAGGAAACACAGGGCCATAGACAGGCAGCGAAGGCGGCACCGGGGGAGGCGCGGGCGGGCGGTCAGGGGATGGAAGACCAAGGAGGCGAAGGGCGGATACTGGCGGCGACTGTGGCTGCTGCTGCTGCTGCTGCTCCGCACCCACTCCAAAACCCCCAGCCGCACCACTACGACCTCCTGGACCCACCAAGACAGCAGCTCCAGGACGAGCACCCTTAGAAGGAGAACCCTCTCGAGCACCCACGCCACCCCCAGGACCACCAGAACAAGCCACGACAGTAACCCCAGGACTAGCACCCCTAGAACGAGAACCCTCTCCAGCACTCGTGCCACCCCCAGGACCACAGGGACGAGCCACGACAGTAACCCCAGGACTAGCACCTCCAGAATGAGAACCCTCTCCAACACCCCAGCCACCCCCAGGACCGCCGTGATAAGCCACGACAGTAACCCCAGGACTAGCACCCCCAGAAACAACACCCTCCCTAGTGCCCGCAACCCCAACAACCCCAGACCCCTGCGGCTGCGGCTGTGGTGGCGACGGCGATGGCTGCTGCTGCGGCGGCGGCGGTGATGGCGGTGGCGACTGCTGCTGCAGAGGCAAAGGAGACACCGGGGCGGAGGGCGCAGAGACAGGCGGCGGACCCTGAGCCACAAGGCCCCCAAAGTCAACGGACTCCTCCGCCGGGGCAACCGAGGGAAGGGGAGTAATGTGAGACACACCAGACGGGGCAGGACGGGGAGCGGGGGCTACCGGGGGAGTGGGGACAAGGAACAAGGGTGGGGTGACTAGGAGACCTCGGTGGGGGAAGCGAGCGTAGAAGGGGATAGACTCGTCAAAGGTGACGTCACGCGAGTGAAAGAAGTGGTGAGACGGTGGGTGGTAAAATTGCCATTGAGACACATCAAGGGGGAAGCTAAGGAAGACACAAGGAACTGTGCAGGCAGTAAGCTTGTCTGCGCCCAAAGCGCGAACCTGAGCGAGGCAGCCCCAGACGTGGAACGCAAACGCGTCACCGGAGGACGCGGACCAGAGGAGGATCGGTGAAACCTGCGGCCGCTGGGAGTGTGGCCATAGGTTAAGCTGGTGAGCGGCGTAGCGAACGGCCACAGAAAATGCGGTGCACGAGCATGGATCATGGAGGTACGAGACACCTCCATAATCAAACCGATGCGTCACTGAGCGACCCCATTCTGCAGCGGGGAGTCCGGCAGGGTGTACAAGTGGGTGATGCCCTCCACACGACAGAAATGGCCATGCCGACCAGAGGCGAACTCACAGCCACGGTCGGAGTGGAGACGAAGCACGGGCAGGGCGCGGTGGACTCGCGCAGCTACGAGCCACGAGATGAGAACGTCAGGCACGTCGACCTTCCGCTCAAAGGGAAACACTGTGGTGTAGCGCGTGTAGTCATTGACGAGCACCAGAAAGTAACGCTCACGACGTGGCCCCAGGACGGGGGCTGGGCCTCAAGTGTCCAAGTGCAGGGTCTGGAGTGGCGCAGTGGTGAGGGGAAACGAGGAGGAGTGAGGAGCACGGCGCAGTCGGCCCTCGACACAGGGTGTCCACAAAGGCACGGCCAAGGGAGGGAGGGCAGGGAGCGACATAGGGAGACCTAAGACAAGACCATGCTGGGACATGTGATGTAGACACGGGAGTGCGGAGTGACCTAGGTGGTGGTGCAGCGACCTGAGTAGGCACGGCCACCTTGGGGGACGCTCCCACCGGGGGGGATACAGTGTCGAGCATGAACCGGCTAGACTACAGGTCCCGAGGGAACGTGGTGAGGGGGGGCACCAGTGGCGGCCTCGTTACAGACTGCATACCGCTCATGTCCAAGGAACGTAGTGGTGACGCCGAGGTCCTGAAGACAACCGACACCAACTAGGTTCCTGGAGAACGAGGGAATGTGCAAGCCTGTAAGGGAGCCCGAGGGAACCGCCGGACAGGGAAGGGTGGTGAAGCTACGTGCAACTACCGGACCTGAAGAGGGGTCAGCAAGTATTACAGTGGCAGGGGCGGCAAGTAGCGTGAGCATAGTGTGGTCGCAAAAGAAACAGGTAGACCCACCAGAGTTGAGCGTAAAGGAGAAAGCGGTGGTAGCAGCAGTCGGCAGGGGCGCCAGCGTGGAGACTAGGCTAAACAAAGCTAAGGATCCTACGTCTGTCATAGCAGGAGAGCCTAGACGACACACAGTGGACACACCTACACCACCTGACACCGAGCGGCGCGCACCGCCACAGCGACAACCACCACCAAAAACATCAAGCCACCATGACTGCGGAAGTCCCCACGGCTGCTGCTGCTACGACTGCTGCTGCTGCCGCTGCTGCGACTGCAGCTGCTGCTTCTCGTACTGCTGCGTCAAGTCATAAGCTCCGATCCCCTCTTTTGCACCACCGGCACCCGCGCCTCCTCTGCCGCTGCTGCCACCCCTGCCGCCCCTTCCTTCGCCACGCCTCCCCCTACCCAGACGAGGCTGTGCTGAGGCCGCGGCGGCGGTTTCGGCAGCAGAGGCTATCTCAGCGACAGCGGCAGAAATGTCACAGTAAGTGCACTAGGAGGGGGCACAGCCCACTAAGATAGGGACCGCTGCAGTACCATTAAACTGCGCGATAGTGCGCTGGAGGGTCTCTATCTCGGATAGGGTGGTGACGAACTCGGTAAGGGTGAGGTTAGCTGGGTGGAGAACAAGGAAGTGGTTGTGAGCAGTGGCTAGGCGGTCAAGAAGGTGCATGGCAAGAAAGTACAGGGTAGCGCCAAGGAGGGGAGGCAGTACAGTGAGCTGGGCCTCAGTGCTAGCAGCGTGATAGCTAGTCTCAAGCGCGCGCAGGTGAGTGGCAAGATCAACGATAGTGGGGAAGGAGGCAACATCACGAAAGAGCAGGGGGAGCAGGAGACAGCTCGCAGAGGCAGAAGAAGGAATAGAATAGCACGCAATGACAGCATCTAAGTAGTGCTGCGCAGACTCTACCGTCTAAAAGCGGAGATGCTCGGAGAGGGGGAGGGCGTGACTGACTGATAGCAAGCTGAGCAACTGGGAACCCTAACCAAGCTGGGAGTCCCCAACCAAGGAAACGCTATAAGCACAAAAATTCCCTCCCTATCGGAACCCCAACTTTGACATTTGTCCCTTCCCAACCAATCCATCCAAGTTGGCCACCCTTGCCAACCTAGCTTGGTTGTTCCCAACCAATTTTGCAGCTGCTACAGTAGAGTGACGAATTTCCCCAACCCCAAAGGTCCCAACTCCATATAGAGTCACCCCACAACTTCACTTTGTAACCACCACAATTGTAACGCAAGCTCATGAACTTTGAATCTTCATAGCTTTCGCGTTCTTGCTCTGATTGAAGCGATTCTTGTTGGGTCAGAAAGATATTCTCAAGATCTATCATCTTAAATACATGATCAAACAAAAACTAGCACAGAACACATTCCCAAACTCCAGAACACACACCACACAAATTCTTTCACACACAGTCAAACCATACATGCGAATTGAAACAAGGGATGGGAGGCAGACAAAATGTGATGGCATATGATGACATCAAACAATAATCTCCCCCTCTGGCTCCCAGCCATCATCTACCATACCACATCTCAAGCATGCATACTCAATGCACACTCATCCCAACAAGCTTCATGCCCTTCCAATGATCCGCCTCCGCTAGACGCGTAGTGAAAATATCAGCTGCCCGTTGATGGGTCTTTACTATCTCCAGTCGCATCTCCTTATCAAGGAGTCTCCTCATCCAATGCCACTTAGGCCTTATGTGTTTTGTCAGCCCATGCAGACAAGCATTCTTGGCTAGCTTCACTGCAGACTCATTATCACATAACACAACTATCGGTTCCTTCTGACCAACTCCCAACTCCTCCAACAACCGCCTCAGCCATACCAATTCCTAGGCCCCATGATGTAAGACCATGTACTTAGTCTCAGATGAGGACAATCCCTCTTCATTCTGCTTCTTGCTGCGCCAGCTCACAGCACCACCTCCCAGCTTCAAGGCCTCTTCTCGAGACTTGGGCTCAAGGATTGATGCCCAGTAGTAGTGAGCGATCTCATCTTCCTCAATCTGCTCAACCACACTCCCAGCCTGCTCCACATTCGGCTTGCCCCTTCCCCCATAGGTCAGCCTTAAAGGAGGGCGCACATCCCTCATATGACGCTCAGGCGGGTGTGGAACTCGAGGTGGAGACTCATACTGCTGCTGCTGCTGCTCCACCTCAGCTGCTCCCCCTTCCTCAGTCGCCCCAGACATCTCCTCCTCAAACACTGCAACCTCCATCTGTCTTGAAGGCCGCTGCACCTCATCTGCCTCCACAATTAGCGGTGTAGATGGAAGCTTCTGTTGCTGTTGCTTCCATTCCTTGTAGTACAGGGACTCGAGAAACTTCACATCCCTTGACACTGTCAGCTTCTGGGTGGTCAAGTCCCATAGCAGCCACCCCTTGTGATCCTTGGCAATCCCCAAGTGCACACCCCATCTTCCAGAAGCCTCCAGCTTCCCCTTTTTCTCCTTGGGCACATGAAATACCACCATGCACCCAAATGCCCTCAGCATGTTCACAGCTGGAGCACTCCGATACCACTTGGTATATGGGATCCACTCCTTATCCCCAACTGTAGCCAACACCCTGTTCTTCACAAGGGCGACCTGCCTCAGTGCAGACACCCAAAACGGATCACGCAGCCCTGCACGCCCAAGGAGAGTGCGTGCCCCCTCCTGCAGGGTCCTGTTGAACCTCTCAGCCACGCCATTCTGCTGCGAGTTGTAGGGCACTGTCAGTTGATGCTGGATCCCCTTCCTCTTCAACTCCCCCTCAAAATCAGCTCCAATGAACTCCCCACCATTCTCACAGCGGATCACCTTCACCTTACGTCTGCATTCCCTCTGAGCTCTAGGCATCCACTCCTTAAGGACAGTCGCAGCCACCTCCCCCTTGCTCTTCAAAGGGTAAACCCACACTGCTCGAGTGTGGTCATCCACAATTGTCAAGAAATAGCGGCTGCCTGAGAGGGAAGGGGCTCTTGTGGGCTCCACCACATCCATGTGCACAAGTGCAAGTGGAGTCTTGGCTGGTCATGTAGTGCTGTTGAAGGGGAACTTGGAGAACTTGGTCTCCAAGCATGTAGGGCAGCTCCCAATCTCCTTCACTCCCCCCTTGACGTCCAAGCCTTTCAGGCTCCCATTCTTTACCAACTTCTGCAGCATAGGGAAGTTCACATGACACAGCCTTTCATGCCATGTCTCCCAATCGGCCTCACCACTCCTTGATGAAGCCTTAGCCCATGCCGCACTGCATCCACACCAGCAAGCACCTCACCATGTGTCTGCTGCCGCTGCACTTTCTTAACCACTTCCAGGACCCCATGAGTTGGTGCAGTTGCATCTCCTCCTGCTGTTGCCTTTGCCGCTGCTGCCGTTGTTGCTGTTGGAGTCTTCCCATTCCAAGGGATGATGGGCAGCTGCCATAGGTCCTTGATGCAGCGGGTCTCCTCTTTTAGACTCCACAGCACCTTCTTCCCAAGCTTAGCACGGCAGATGGTTGGTCCAAAGGTCACTTCGGCCTTGCTCTTCTGTAGTCGCCGCACAGAGAGAAGGTTAGCAGACAGACCTTCAACCAGCAAAACATTCCCAAGCCCCACAAGCTCCCCATTAGCTCCCTTAACCTTGGCATTCCCAACACCAATGACAGGGAACAAAGCACCTGACGCTGCTGCCACATACTTAATCTTCGTAGGGGGTTTTACCTCATCAAGCAAATCTGCCAGTGGGGTCATGTGACTGGTGCAACCTGAATCAATCACCCAGTGCGTGAGAGGGTGCATCACAACCTTTCCCACAGATCCCACATCACCCTCATGCCCATGCACATCCTCAACCATGAGAAACATCCCAGGATAGGTATTACCTTGTGCACCTTCACCTTGTGCACCTGAGCCTTGCACAGCGCCACCTTGTGCGCGTTCACCACTTGGCGGCTTCATGCCTGGAGGTGCCCATCCCTCCGGCCTGCTGAAGCACTTAAACCAAGGATGCCGGACCTTCTTGCAGTACCAGCAGGTGCCCTCCATTCTGGCACTCCCTTTGCCACTAGAGCTCCCATGCCCCTCATTATAGTCACCTCAGCCTCTACCTCTGCCAAAGCTCCTCCCACGGCATCGGCCTCTCCAACCCCCTCTTCCTCTGCCGCGCCCTACAGCTCCATACCCCTCAGCAATCTTAGTGGAAGCACCACCTCCCACATGGCGTCTGCGGAAGTCCTCCTGCAGAATCTGCTGCCTTAGCCACTCAGGTGTCCATTGATCTTGCTGAGAGTTGAGGGTGGGGATGAGGTTGTCCCAAGAGTTGTCCAACACCGAGATGATCTTGGTGCACTACTGCAGCTGAGATACACTGCTGCCCGCGGCTGCCATCCTTGCATAGGTGTCCTTGATCTTGTCAAGGACCAGCTTCACATCGTCCCCTGGTCACATGGAGATGGCAGCAAGTTCCTACTCGAGCACGATCATCATCGGGAGAGTGTTGGGCTGAATCACATCGCGTAGTAGTTTCCACGCCCTTGGACCCGAATCATCCGCTTCCACAAGATCCTTGATGTGCTCGAACATCTCCTTGTTGACAGATTGAAGGATGAGGTCGAAAAGCACCGTGCTTTTCTCAATCCACCGTTCACGTGCTTCGCCTTCTTCCGGCATCTTCTCCTCCCCAACAGCAATCTTCAGTAGCTTGTAGCGTTTGAAGGCACTCCTCATCCGCCCGCTCCATTCCTCATAGTTGGAGTCACCACTGCAGCTGGCGTCACTGACGTTATCACTGCAGCTGGCACTATTGACGTCATCATTGCAGCTGGAGTTACTAACGTCATCGCTGCAGTTGGCATCGCTGACGTCATCACTGTGTATGCGTCACTGACATCAGCATTGCAGCTGACTTCGTTGAGGACATCACTGTAGATGGCGTCATTGACATTATCACTGCAGCTGGCGTCACTGACGTCACCACTGCAGCTGACAAAACTGATGTCATCACTGCAGCTGGCATCACTTACGTTATCACTGCACCTGGCGTCATTGACGTCATCACTACACCTGGCGTTATTAACGTCATCACTGCGTTGGCGTTGCTGATATCAGCATTGCAGCTGACTTCGTTGAGGATATCACTTAGCTGGCGTCATTGCGTCATCACTGCAGCTGACGTCACTGATGTCATCACTACAGCTGAAATCACTGATGTCATCACTGCAGCTGGCGTTACTGACGTCATCACTGCAGCTGGCGTTATTGACGTCATCTTTGCAACAGGCGTTACTGACGTCAACACTGCAGTTGGCATCACTGACATTATCACTGCAGCTGTCTTCCTTGAGGACATCAATGCAGCTGGCATCATTGACGTCATCACTTCAGCTGGCGTCACTCACGTTATCACTGAAGATGGGGGTTATTGACGTCATCACTGCAGCTGGTGTTACTGACGTCATCACTGCAGATGGCGTCGCTGACGTCATTACTGCATTGGCGACACTGACATCAGCATAGCAACTGACTTGGTTGAGGACATCACTGCAGCTGGCGTCATTGATGTCATCACTGCGGCTGGCGTCAATGACGTCACTACTGTATCTTGCGTTACTAACGTCATCACTGCAGCTAGCGTTCGTCATCATTACAGCTGGCGTCACTAATGTCATCACTGCAGCCGACTTCACTGACGTCATTGTTGCAGCTGGAGTTATTGACATTGTCACTGTAGCGGGCGTCATTGACGTGATCACTGCAGCTGGCGTGTCTGACGTTATCACTGCAGCTGGCGTCACTGACGTCATCACTGCAGCTGACATTACTCACGTCATCACTGCAGCTGGTGTCACTGACATTATCACTACAGCTGGCGTCATTGACATCATCACTGCAGCTACGGTTACTGACGTTATCACTGAAGTTGGCTTCGCTGACGTCATTAGTGCAGCTGGCATCAGAGACGCCAGCATTGCAGCTAAGTTCGTTGAGGACATCACTGCAGCTGGCGTCACTGACGTCACCACTGTAGCTTGCGTTACTGACGTCATCACTGCAGCTGGCGTCACTAAGGTCATCACTGCAGCCGACTTCACTGACGACATTATTGTAGCTAGTGTCACTAACATTATCACTGCAGCGGGCGTCATTGACGTGATCACTACAGCTGGCGTGTCTGACGTTATCACTGCAGTTGGCGTTGCTGACATCATCATTGCAGCTGACATTACTCACGTCATCACTGCAGCTGGTGTCACTGACATTATCACTACAGCTGGCGTCATTGACATCATCACTGCAGCTACGGTTACTGACGTTATCACTGAAGTTGGCTTCGCTGACGTCATTAGTGCAGCTGGCATCAGAGACGCCAGCATTGCAGCTAAGTTCGTTGAGGACATCACTGCAGCTGGCGTCACTGACGTCACCACTGTAGCTTGCGTTACTGACGTCATCACTGCAGCTGGCGTCACTAATGTCATCACTGCAGCCGACTTCACTGACGACATTATTGTAGCTAGTGTCACTAACATTATCACTACAGCTGGCGTGTCTGACGTTATCACTGCAGTTGGCGTTGCTGACGTCATTATTGCAGCTGACATTACTCACGTCATCACTGCAGCTGGTGTCACTGACATTATCACTACAGCTGGCGTCAATGACATCATCACTGCAGCTACGGTTACTGACGTCATCACTGCAGTTGGCTTCGCTGACGTCATTAGTGCAGCTGGCGTCACAGACGTCAGCATTGCAGCTTAGTTCGTTGAGGATATCACTGCAGCTGGCGTCACTGACGTTATTACTGCAGCTGACGTCACTAACACCATCACTGTAGCTGGCGTCACTCACATCATTACTGCAGCTGACATCACTAACGTCATCGCTGCAGCTGGCGTCATTGACCTCATCATTGCAGCTGGCGTCACTAACGTTATCACTGCAGCTAGCATCGCACACGTCATCACTGCAGCTCGCATAAGTGGCGTTATCATTGTAGCTGGCGCCAATGTTGTCATCTTTGAAGCTGGCGTCACTGACACCACCACTGCAGCTGGCGTCACTGACGTCATCACTGCTGCTGGCGTCACTGATATCATCACTGCAGCTGACATCACTGACGTCATCACTGCGGCTGGCGTTAGTGACGTTATCACTGCAGCTGGCTCTTTTGACGTCATCACTGCAGCTGGAGTTACTGACGTGATCATTACAGTTGGCGTCGCTGACGTTATCACAGCGTAGGTCTCACTGACGTCAGCATTGCAGCTGACTTTGTTGAGGACATCATTGCAGCTGGCGTCATTGACATCATCACTGCAGCTAGCATCTCTAACGTCATCATTGCAGCTGGCGTCACTGACGTTATCACTCCAGCTGGCGTCATTGACGTCATCACTGCAGCTGGCGTTACTGACGTCGTCACTGTAGTTGGCGTCGCTGACGTCCTCACTACAGTTGGCGTCGCGGATGTAATCACTGCAGCTAACATCACTCACTTCATCACTGCAGTTGGCGTCACTGACGTTATCATTGCAGCTGGGATCATTGACGTCATCAATGCAGCTTGCGTTACTAATATCATGACTGCAGTTGGCGTCGCAAACGTCATCATTCCAGCTGGCGTAACTGACATTTGCATTGCAGCTGACTTCGTTAAGGACATCACTGCAGCTGGCGTCATTAACGTCATCACTGAAGCTGGCGTCACTGACGTCAACACTGCACCTGGGGTCAGTGATGTTATCACTGCAGCTGACATCACTGACGTTATCACTGCAGCTGGCGTCATTGACGTCATCATTGCAGCTCGCATTACTGACGTCATCACTGCATTGGCATCACTAACGTAAGCATTGCAGCTGACTTCGTTGAGGACATCACTGCAGCTAGCGTCATTGATATCATCACAGCGGCTGGCATCACTGACGTCACCACTGCAGCTGGCGTTACTCACGTCATCACTGCAGCGGGCGTCATTGACGTCATCACTGCAACTGGCGATACTGATGTCATCACTGCAGCTGACATTAGCGACGTCATTACTGCAGCTGGCACCACTGACATTATCACTGGAGCGGGCGTCATTGACGTCATCACTGCAGCTGACGTTTCTGACGTCATCACAGCTGCAGGCGTCACTTACGTCAGATTGCAGCTGACTTCGTTGAGGACATCAGTGCAGCTGGCGTCACTGGCGTCACCACTGCAGCAGGCATCACTGACGCCATCACCGCAGCTGGCTTCACTGACGTTGACACTGCAGCTGGCGTTACTGATGTCATCACTGCAGCTGACATTACTAATGTCATCTGTGCAGCTGGTGTCACTGACATTATCACTGCAGCTGTGTTATTGACGTCATCACTGCAGCTGGGGTTAGTGACATCATCACTGCAGTTGGCTTCGCTGACGTTATCACTGCAGCTGGCATCACTGACATCAGCATTGCAGCTTAGTTTGTTGAGGACATCACTGCAGCTGGCATCACTGACGTCATCACTGCAGCAGGCGTCACTAACGTCAGCACTGTAGCTGGCGTCGCTGGTATCATTAGTGCAGCTGGCGTCACTGACGTCATCGCTGCAGCTGGCGTTATGGACGTCATCACTGCAGCTGGCGTCACTAACATCATCACTGCATCTGGCATCGCACATGTCATCACTACAGCTGGCGTCACTGGCGTCATCATTGCAGCTGGCGCCAATGTCGTCATCTTTGCAGCTGGCGTCACAGACGTCACCACTGCAGTTGGCGTCACTGATGTCATCACTGCAGCTAACATCACTAACGTCTTCACTGCAGTAGGCATCACTGACCTTATCATTGCAGCTAGCGTCATTGACGTCATCACTGCAGCTGGTGTTACTGACGTCATCACTGCAGTTGGCGTCGCTGACGTCATTACAGCAGTTGGCGTCGCTGATGGCATTACTACGTTGGCGTTACTGACGTAAGCATTGCAGCCGACTTCGTTGAGGACATCGCGGCAGCTGGCGTCATTGACATCACCATGGCAGCTGGCGTCACAGACGTCATCAATGCAGCTGGTGTCACTGACGTCATCACTGCAGCTGGCGTCACTGATGTCATCACTGCAGCTGACATCACTGACGGTATCACTGCAGGTGGGGTCACTGACGTCATCACTGCAGCTGGCATTACTGATGTCATCACTGCAATTGGCGTCGCTGATGTCATCACTGCAGCTGGCATCACTGACGTCATCACTGTAGCTGTCGTCACTGACGTCATCACTGCAGCTGGCACAAACAATCGCATAAAGGTTGATGTCGGATGGGCAAAGTTGGGTCCTACGAAGTTTCCCCACCAAGTTTGCCCACCTAGTTGCCCAAAACCGAGTTGGATGGGCAAAGTTGGGGATGGGCAAGCTTCAGAACGAGATCTTATGCTCACTGTCTGCTTTTGGGCACCTTGTGGTTGAAAATGCGCAAACATGTGGCGATTCTAGTCGTAAAAGCGCTATTTACTGGCAACTTTGCCGGATGAAAACGGTAAAGACAAGTGTGGGGGTTGCTATGTAAAATACGTAAAAAGGATTGGGTGTATTGTTGTGGATGCTGTATGTTTACATACACCCTAGATATAACACCACTTGGTTCACAATTCGAGGGGGGTTTTATGTCCAAGGGGTTACGACCCTCTCTTTCACCCAACCAATTGTGTTTTATTGTATATGTGGCCCGACCAT